GCCTTTGCTTTTTTTGCTTTGGAAGGCTTTTCCTGCGCTTGTGAGATTTGGAGGAAAAGTCGTTCCTCTAATTTTACGTAAAACGTGCTTTATCCGTGCCAGTGGTAAGACATTTACATGTGTGTCTGAGGACAGAAATTTTTTCGCAATATTTTTTCGTTGAGTAAATTTTGAAAACTGTTTGCAGCCTGAAATAGTAACTTATAACGGGTACCAATCCGAGATACATGCTGTCACAACGGATGACGGTTATGTGCTCGAGCTGCATAGAATTCCGGCTGGCAAATCAGGTCATTTGAAATAAGTAACATAAGCTCCCATCTTTTTCTATTAAACCACCTTGACAGTTTTTTCTCTGAGTGAAATGGTGCTATCTGTTTTATCATATGTGCTGAAATACATTTAAAATAGTGCTTTTAAAACAGTTGTTTTCATTCGCAACGAACTTTTAGAAAAGAAAAACTAAATAAACTGCGAGGCAGTTTCTTGATCAAAACCAGAGAATGTAAAGAATGGCTGTTTTATTGCTGAAATGTCAAATTTTGGCCTGCATGTGGTGTGTCTCTGTGTGCATGTACGCACCCTTTTTGCGAGCTTATTCTTTTTGCTGGAGGAAAACTGAGTGTTTGATGTTTGCACCCTAAAATTTTCATTAATTTAGTAACTATTTGAGAGAGCAGTCAATGAAATCAGACAATTACAGATAGCTGCAGGACAAGAGGAAACAAGCCAGTGGTATTTTTGCAGCATGGCTTCATCGGTTCAAGTGCCGTCTGGGTGACGAATCTCCCCCACCAATCTGCTGGTATGCAGCTCTCGAGTTTCAAAATTCAAGCACTAAAAATGATGTTGGACCATAGCAAGTTCGGAATGTAGTGATAGCAATCGGCAATAATCTTACTCTTACCAGAGGTAATAGTTGGCCAACGCACGGGCTGCCCGTGCGAAAGTGTGTTTTTTGCATAGTTCTCCGCAGAATTTTGTCGCTAACAGCACTGTTTTTTCCTACAGATGCTTCCGGCTAAAAGAATTTCAGACTGGCTGCCAGGACCGTCAGGAAACATCCCTTCAAAATTCCAGCCTTCTAGCTTCTCAGGTTCCCGAGTTATCAACCTACTCGAAAAAAATTTTCACGGGCCCATACGTGGGTACCACGTATACGCAAGGGCTGAGTTCGAGCTCATTGAGACTTATGTGAACAGGGAATATGCTCTTAAAATTACAGTCTTCTTGCTTTTCAAATTCTCGGGTTAGCAAATTACCCGGAAAAAAAATTGGTGGCCTCGTGCGTGGGTACCACGCATACCCGAGGTCTGGGTTTGAGACTTACGTGGACGGGGATTATTCGTTTAAAATTCCAGCCTTCTAGCTTTTCTGGTTCTCGAGGTAGCGACTTACCTGCAAAAAAGTTTCATGGGCTCGTACGTGGGTACCACGCGGGTAAGAGCGCCCATTTTGGGGATTGGGCCCATACGTGCACGTAGATTAAGTTCCTAAAGTTTCAGTCCTGTCGCTTTTGTAGGTCTTGAGATGGAAACCGTGACAGACGCACACACAGACACACACACGGACAACCGCTTGTCATTGCGCGTTTTCTGCATTGCATAGCTGCAAAAAAAACGCATAAAAACTGCCAAAATGGCACGGGAAATGTACGTTAAGTGGAGGAAACAGCAGACACTTCGGAAACCCAAAATTAGGAACCCGAAAATGATCCAGAAAAATGCTTCAGCTGCGAGAAAAACAGGCTGGAAGTGAAAGCATTTCTAGTTACATCTCTGCCGGTGCGAATACTTTACAAATATGCAACAAATGTGTGACGGCCGTCTGCCTACCTTCCCATGCACTATTTTGTAGCCACACTTTACGCGTTTGTGAAAATAGCTGAAAAATTGCAGCCATCGGGCGGAGCGCCCGTCGTTATAAATTTTTTGTTTTTCTTTTTGTTGTGTCTTCAAATTTACAAATTCGTCAATTCCAAGGATTTCTGTTTGCGGATGCGGGATTTGATGTGTGGATGGGTAATGTCCGCGGTAATAAATATTCCACAGGGCATGTGAATTACACACGCAGTAATCGGAAATATTGGGATTTCACGTTAGTTTACAATTTTCACATGCTACGACTACAGTTTGTTTTGAAATCAAAAGACAGACAGATATCAACTAAAAGCTAGTTCCCCATCATTTAAGACCTGTAGATTTCTTGGTTTTGGAATTATAAAATTTACTTGAGTTAAACCTGTGATTGCTGGATAGAGGTGTTGGCGATCTAAAATTGATTTTGCCTTCGAGCTTCCATAAAGGCATAAGGCCGTTGTCAAAATTTCAACTTCCTAGCTTTCGTTATTTCAAAGCTGAGGTAGGTTGTCATAAACGCAAAAAATTTTGCTTTAATGTTGCCTTTGCAGTGGAATAC